CCATGTGGACACATGCTCTGCTTCCCGAAACCATCCAATCTTATTCCTTTTAGCCCTCTTTTCTTCTCGGAATATAACAGTACAAGCAACCCACTAAATTTTACTAATTGAAAATAATCTGGTGTTTTTGAATGTTTATAGAAAGCAAGCTACAAGTAATTCAGTAGTCCAAATCACGATCAACACTGAAGTGAAAATTAAGCCGCCATGTTTGTTTGAAGGAAACCAATTTCTCGAAACACCATAAGACAATATAATTATGACGTCATGTTAACACCGCCTTTCGTTATAGATAGCATTTTCCGCTGGGATGGTTCATATCAAGAAAAGATATGTTTTTAACGGGCTACTAAAAAATGACTGACAATAGTCTTTGAAAACTAATATATACATTTTAGAAGGGAGGGGACTGAACAACTTGCGCTTTCGGTCGTATTGGAGCTAATGGTTGTTTAAAAGTATATACACTCTCCTGAAAATGAACACATGAAAATGAAATGACTATTTTGTAACCCAAATGGGGTTTTTGCTGTTAATTTGTCTTACGCTGCAGATGTTATTAAGAATTAGTATCTCGGAATTTATTAGTTATATCTGAATTAAGCAAAGTCTCTCTACCGTAATCAAATCGTTTTTTGAAAGATTCAGAACATATTGTGATTAAACTTGATTTGACTATTCGACAGATTATTGAACATTAGAGTTAAATATTATAGTAGAATAGTTAATTAAAGCTGCTCTATGGTAATATATAACTAAAATTACAGATGGCAAAATAAAACTACATTTTTATGCTAACGTTTTCACGGCGAGAGCGGCTCTTCAGGCATTTATTAAACAATAATTCAATTAACAATGCCGTTTATTAAACAATAATTCAATTAAACAATAATTCAATTAACAATGCCATTTATTAAACAATAATTCAATTAACAATTCAATTGTTAATTGAATTATTGTTTAATAAATGCCTGAAGAGCCGCTATCGCGGTGAAAACGTTAGCATAAAAATGTAGTTTTATTCTGCGACATACAGTTTCCCATGGCATCCACATTTCTCATAAGGATATGGATTTTAGTATCTTTCATTCATGACTGATTTATTTGGCTACAAGGTTTATGTTCTTTAGTGTATTTGAACGCGTGTAGACTTTAACATTACGAGAACTGTCATAGATATAATAAAACGTAAGAATTGCGTGATCTACACTTAACCAACATTGTAATGTTATTCAGATTAAGCGAATCAGTTTCGTATTATTTTAAAAATATCCATCGAACCATTATTATTAGTCTGTTAAATAGTGGAATGAGCTAGATATACACGAGTGGGAAGATCAAAGGGGAATAACTGTAACAGTTAAATCTTATTGGGCTGTATTTCTATGTGTTAATTAAACAAACCGATGCTAGAAGGCGTAGCAAGGACTTCAAATATCCACGGCATGCGATAAGACCTTCACGGTGTTCTTCCTGCATGTTGGTAGTCGTTAGATGATGTTAATCTACACGTCGTGCCTATTGAAAGAGAGAAAACGGTTCTCCGTAAAACGATAGTTAACTTTTCAAAATTTAACACTAAACTGCAGTCCCTAGGCTACATTACTATACTAGCACATTTCCAATGGACCACCTGATTAGTCCATTCGATGTGGAACGTTTTTGTCAGATCAAAAGCAAAGCCGAGCTATGAAATATATCGAATGTTAACTAATTTATATGTTTGCGAATTTCAAATCGTATTCGAAACTACATTCCTTACACTACGAACATGTATTTGGCTTGTTAAAAAGGAACAATAACGGTTCCCCCTACAGCCAGCCACGGGAGTCTTTCTAGAAACCTGTATATTTACAGGTTCAGTGGCATAAACCAAAACCATACTACTAACTGTTCAGACATTCTTACAGATTGGTAAGAGACGAATCTACCGCATAAGAATCAGCATGATCTCTTGTTCTGGTGATGTCTGAGGAATCGAAGGCCCCCTCTAAGATCTTTCCATAAACGTGAACGAACTAGGGCCTAATAACCGGGAATAACGAGGCAATTTACTTGACTGATCAGTCTTCAAAGACTACACTTTAGATTTTAACATTGACTTAAACATTTGTACAAATAACCAAATTGTTGTTGTTGGTCCACTTTTCTATGAATTACTTGAGCTGGAATTGATTCTCTAGTGACGCATAATGGGTACCAGAAACATTCGACATCACCGAACCAGTTTGCTACTTCGAACTTACATGTATACATATTGCATTATATAATTATAATACTGTTATGACATCCATTAACCCGGAATCTTACATATCGACCAGTTCAAACGAGTATCCCCGGTATACACTGTTCCTGAAGCAACGACTTCGAGTTGTACAACATCTAGTCGGTGCTAGCTTAGCCTGAAATTCCTAAACTTTTTAGATACGTAATCTCTCATTATCATAGACATGCGATACAAACACATAACAGAATAGATTTGTTTACAGCCGCTGAAAGCTTTTGTTAGTTGAAAAACTCACGGAAAACCAAATAAAAGCAACCTTACGGGTATAATGGAAGAACAGAAAAGTAAATTAGAAAAGTTTGGACTAAAATGTGAAGTGAATCATAGCATAATCAAAGCGCAAAAGTACCAACATTGAACGAACCTTGAACTTGGCAACTCAATTATCGCAGCTGGTCATTTCAGCTGGAAAGCGCGAGACTTGGTCTTGAGCTGGGTCCATGACCAATCGAAATTAGTGACGAAAAAATATAAAGTATTACGTGAAGGCTTTGATAAGATGTACGGAGTTAAAGCGAGATCAAACATTCTATTGAAGATACGATACACTAAACAAACCATTTATTCTAGGATTCGATAACCGTATAGAATTATACCGCGTGCAGGTCCAAAATTATAAATTACTTGATTTCAAGAGGTTGCAAAATTAGATATGTCAATTCATATGGAGCACCAGCAGCAGCCATTGATACACTTCAAATCGCTAAAACAAACGCCGTAAAATACCTTAAAATATGATATGATTGGAATGGCGGCTCCTAAATACACAGTGTTTCGGGACAGGACAATAAAAAATATTAGCTTTTCTATTCACTTTCACCGCCACTTTTTCAAATGAATTACCAAGAGACTCGGTTGTTTAGAGAATTACTATAATAGAATTATGTGGGAACGCATTATGTGTCATAAAAAGAATACAGTATACAACGGTTAAAGAGAGAGAGAGAGAGAAATGGGGTTTAACGTCCACTCGACACAAACTAGGTCATTTCGGGACTAACATATGGTTTATTTTTATTTCAATAATTCGCTTGCGCATAGGGGTCATTAGCAGTCGGAGGAAACCGGAGGACCCGGAGAAAACCCACGAGGTTCAACAGGCGACCCTATTCCTTGTCACGTACAACCGGGGATTCGAAACCACGCCAGTCGACTCAATGACAGACTTTATGATACAGCGCGCGGACAATAACCATTCAGCCATCCAACCCCCCACAACGGTTAGAAATATATTTTTATAATATAGTACTTTAGAAATGGACCAATGATAATAATAACAATTACGAAATAGTAAAAATAATATACACAATCTGAGGCAAATCTTACAAGCCATCGCTTACATATGGATAATTAAATATTTACGGAGCATTATAGTAGCATTAATAGGTATTTTTTAAGGAGTTCAACTGATGGTCGTGCAAATTTATGATCTTTTTATGAAGATGAATAGCATTTAATATCTCTTTAAGGTCTCTTTACATACATTAAGATAAAATTCAAAAAGAGTAGGATTTAAAAACTTAGATTTGTTAGGCGCGCATTGGTCAGTACGATTTGTGAGGGTGATGTGTCGTTATCAAAATTCGACTTTTGCATCAGACTTTATGAAATAACACCTTGGCATTGTGAAAATCCCATACGGAATGCATCTTGTAAAGTTTTGAATATATAATTTATCGAAATAACCCCCTTCATGCCTGGATAAACCGATAAAGAGCTAAATTAATATTATTTTGATATCAAATCTGCTGAATTATCTGTTAATGGGGGGCAACTCTCAATCTCATTATTAGAGCCCAATCATTTTCTCCGTTGACTTCAGTGTTTAAAAATATGTGCACGAAATAATAAAATCGCTACAAATAATGAGTAGGCTTACTGCCTTACTTTATTATTATCACAGAGATGCACAATCCACCACTTCTAAATATAGACGCATATTTTGATTTCTAACATCACCTCAAGCAAGGGTCCCAAAATATCAATTTAAAATGGATTTTGTAAAATGTATATCTATAAAATTCAAAGTCAAATCTAAATTCACAAAGACAATATAGCACTGTTTTATTTCAAAATATAATAATAATAATGGTAAAGTATTGCACTTACAAAAGAAAATCTTAACAGATTTAATAAAGAGTTTACTGTACATAATATTATATATTATAATTATACGTTCACCCATTCTTAAAGCTTGTTTGCTAAATAATACCCTTGGATTTCTTCCCAGACATTATTTCAAAGTTATTAGTAACGTGGTCGGTAGGATTCTGAAATAAAAATAAAGAAATTATTAGCTTCGAGTTCAGCTTATCCAATAAATAACAGAATAGAAATGAAATTGTTACCGGCATGTCATAAGTAAGAAGTTTTATTTATATACTTTGATGCTTATTTATATTATAAAACAAAAGTAAATTTTATCGAGGATATTTTGTCATATGCTGTTACTATCTACTATGCGTATAATTCTCAGACTTAAGGTCTGAATATATAATTATCACACTGAGTTTTATTACACACACGATTAATCAAAACTATACATTGTAATCTTTACAAAAATTAACAACTCCATTCTCTAACCAACCTCATAATATGTCCTCAAATAAATAATAGAAGAATTTTGACCATTGTTTAAATTTTATATGTTGTTTTTTTTTTTAAACAATAAAATTGGAATCTTGAAATTAAAACTTACTCTGTTGACCTTGATTTCTCCCAAATTGACCTTGATTTCTGAGAAGACCGTCGTGTTGCCAGAGACGTTGTCCTTGATTTCCAAATAACTGCTCTTGATTTCCCCATTGTTGACCTTGGTTTCCAAGTACCTGGTCTTGATTTCTCCATTGCTGACCTCTAGTGCCCCATTGTTGACCTTGATTTCCAATTATCTGGTCTTGATTTGCCCATTGTTGACCTCCTGTGCCCCATTGTTGACCTTGGTTTCCCAATAAATCTGTAGAAATAATTGATAGTGAATATTAGTTCAATCGAATAATGTAAAGCCCCTATGTGATAGATCTGTAATCATTTCCTTATTTGAATTTAACAAAAAATAAAGTTCATTGCAATTTGGCCGATTAAAACAAAAAAAACAAAAAAATAGCGAGGTAAAATTTTATTTTGAGCTCTGTGTTTATGGGTATAAAACAATTTTACTTCAATATTGTCTTATACGATAACGAAGGCGTCGTAAAATCAATAGAAAGTAATGTTATGGTCATAACTAACGTCAGGATCGATTTTGGGACGAATATGTTTTTTGGGCCCTGGAAGATTACTATTTATTGTGTTTATAATTTGCATTTAAGTTTGCAATGACTAAGCATTATCATTCAAATTATGTTTTAATTGATAGCAAATGACTTTCCGTTTCTGATTCCCCCATTTTTCGTTTTCAGCATCGCCAATGCCGGTACATATATGTTAGAACATATTTAGTTTGTTAGACTATCGAGTAGGATAATGTAATGGACATACTAATCGTAGTGTTCTGTTTCATTAGACCTAGCCATTGCTTCAGGAATATGAATGATGGGACATAATATAAATTACATCTAGTTGAATTACTCGGATAACGTTAGATCGTAATAGTGACGCCGAATAATAAATGTATTCTATTAAATATCAGTTTTGTTACATAGGAAAACAATATGTTACCAGAGGTTGTCTGTCCTTGATTAAACCACTGCCCACCATTGTTTTCTTGGTTACCCCATCTGTTATTACTGGTAGGTCTGTATAATGATCTTTTATATCCTGTAATATTGTAATATAAAAAGATTAATATCTATGAGAATAAATTCGACCGTCTAGTGTCAACCTACTATGAAACTACTAAAATTCTCAATAAGGCTCTTTAGTATATTTACAAAGTGCAAACTGATTCGATATCATTGGGCACTAGAAGGCAAGTTACCTGGTTGCTAACTTAAAGTACGACTCCTATAGAATTTGCAGTACATTCAACAAAGATGACACTGTGTTTTGTAACTGGGCTTCGTCTATAAAACTGAGGTCGTTATCAAGGGATATTTAGAACATGACTATATAGAAAAGGAGATATCTCTTATGGTTATTTCGTGGTGAAAAGACAACTGCCTCTTCAAAAACAATAACTGGAATATAACGAATGGTAGAGGGTAAGGTAGAGGGGGGGGGGATTTTATAAACTTACTTCTAGGTCTAGTCGAAATTCCAACTGGGACATCAAGAATCTGATGATGACCTCTCCAAAGTTGATCCTGACCATTTAAACCATTGTTGAATCGACCCTGGTTTTGGAAGAAATCTCCTCGGGTTCGAATGAATTGACTTTGTGTGTCATAAGGCTGGTTGTTATACCACTGACCTTGGGTCAAATAATCTTGATTTGGATTATAACCATAACGGTTATTGAAGGGAATATATGCACCGGAAGCTAGAGCTACACAGGCGCACACAAACAAAATAACGACGCCGTTCATGTTTGATGTATAGAAACTGTAAAAGGAAAAAGAAAATTTACATTAGGCGTTATGTTGTTTATATCTGGAATGTTCCCAATTACCTGTTCTAATTTACCCTAGGTTTTAGACCGACGGCTATTATCGTGGGATTGAACTAGTAGCTTATACCCATGTTAGACCTGTAGTTTAACGCCTTGGACCATTCAGCATAGTGAATGCAAGTTCAGGCAATAAACAGCAATGACAGTAAAATAATGTGAATCAAGTTGTTAAGTAAATCCCTTACACAGATGAGTTCGAACTGGATGAAATAACACAGGGTTTAACGTCCTACTGCTTTGCTCCTACTGGGCTAATGAAGACGGGAATACGCCAAGCAGTGTGCTTTGGGGAAAGTTTTCTCGGACAGTCGCGCTACAGCTTACTCTTATTTCGAATTCCAACTGTCACGGGATCTTTGTGTGCACGCTAGTGAGTACACGGGACCTCGGTTTTTCGTCCCACGGAAATGAATATACGTTGTTCCTTGCTAGGTCAATGACAAGGGGGGGGGGGGCAACGCAGGGATCGAATATGGGACCAGCGTCCTACCCACTGAGCCACCGTCGCTCCCTCAAAATGGATGAAGTAGTATATATAATTATGAAAGATATTGTTGACTCTGAAGAGTTCCAGCAACGAACGGTGAGTATTTCTCATCAACGCTTGTATCGTTCTATCCATGTTTTTAATACTAAATACAATAACTATAATTCATCAAAATCTCCTAAATAATTACACGATAGCATAATATATATGATGTAAATATAACGAAGTATAAACCACTTTTATGTAAACAAAGGGTAAACATTAACTATATGACTTTACCATTTACGAGTGCGGTGTTCTAGTAATTTACCGTCTTCATTAGCCCAGTCGATGCAGAACAGTTTGACGTTAAACCCCATTTCATTCATTTCAATTAATATATATCTACAGAGCTAATTACTTACCTATATTAATTCTAATGTCAAGGCACAATTGTGATAAGGACCAGTAGAATAAACCAGGGTATATATATTCTTACCATGACCATACTGACGTCATACAGGTAATCATACATGGCAGATAGAAGGAAATATTAATGATTAATATATATAAATACAAGGTTACGGGGTCATATCTCAATTTTGGTAACAATTAATAAGAAAGGGAAGTGTTTAATATGACGTAGACTGACAGTATTGAATGGATTTCAGTATGACTGACAGGAGATAAAACAATCAGTTATAAATACACCAGATTGTCATTTTAAAAGTAGAAAACTGTTAACGAGTATTGAAATCTTATTTTAATAGAACGTATTTTTTTTTAAAAAAAATATTTAAAAAATGTAAAATAACATATGTACCAAAGTCTAAATACCATTGTAATTTTTGAAGGGTATTGAACATTTAGGCCCATAGGATGTGTATTTTAAAAATATCATTGGTAAAGGGCGGGTTTTACTGAGCGCGAACGCGAACACCGACCATCGCAACTTTTACCGTTTGTACTTAAAGCGGTCTTGCGCCCGGAAATTCGCAGATGAATCCCCGTGAACAAAATGTAAGCCGCGTTGGCAGTTAGAATAAACAAGTTGATCAATCAAATGCGATCGCTCTCACGTTCACGGTCAGTACAAACGGACATTTCGGTGATAAACACTTCCTGTTTCGTATTTAGAGGAGGTTTATTGTCCATTTAACCATTCTTGAATCATTAGAACACGAGACACGACAAACTATCAATAGTCTTTGGGATGGAATGGAATAGAATTGAACTCTGTCTAGGTTTTATTTTTGGGGCTTGTATAATAGCCTATACCTATTTTACTGTTTTGGTTACGTCTACAATGGCATGGGTGAATCAAGCCGGAAGAGTGATTTTCCCCGACTGTTGGGGAATATTTTACGCCAATACATATAAAAAAATTTGTTTGGGGTCATATCATCTTGGCTAATATCCATAAATTGTCTTAGTTAAATTATTGTACACTAACCATTAATCTCTGTGCATTATTTTTATTCTCATCCAAACGGAACTTTTCAAAATTTGTAACATTTGACAGATCACATTAAATCGGTACGAAAAGGTCATACATCACGATGACAGTAACACGGAAAGTCTGATTTATTGATAATTCGTTGTTTTTTTCTTGATGTGTTTATTATATTGTTAAATTATTATTTTGTTAAAATTACGAATACACCCACCAACAGAAATTTGAATTGTAGATTATATTTAAAGGGTCAGCAGCAAAACCACCTCTTATGATTTGCTGAACAATCCAAAAAATGTTTGAAAAATGTTGTCAAAAACTCAGACCTTTAGGGGATGCTCTATTGTCATTCCGGAACGTCACGAATTTACAGAATTGCACGCAAAATTCAGTGTGTGAGTTCCACCAACGGTTGTGGTGTGAGTAGAATCGGGACTTAATTAAACACAACGAATATGTTATTCTTCAACCGAAGCCCGAAATTCCCTTTTCACTCGATTGTCACTATTTTAGGGATTCATATAAGGAACGTTCAATCGAGTATCCCCCTAGAGTGTTTCTGTTACAAGGGCTTGTAACTATGCGTAAAATCGCTGACCAACACTAAATGTTGATGGGGTTTACGGTTCTAAGGTTCCGGATTAGCCGAACAAACCAACATGTGTTGAAAACAAGTCACAAAACAGCTGACTCCTTAGAGTTTTTGTAAATTTTGGATGTCAGGGGCAGTAACTTTTTTTTATGAAATTCGTTGCAAAAGCATAACACATGCCGAACAATACTAAAAAAGATTGAAACAAACTTCTCAAAAGCTCTAACCTGCTGAGTTTTACAGGCAGTAACTCTACGATAAAATGTTTGCATTTCAAACATTCTCCAATATAAAGTGCTCACTATCGTGTGTTAATTATATTAGAGATATAAAAAAAGGAATGGTTACCCCGGAGCCTATGATTTCAGGGACTATGAATAACCCATCATTAAGTGTTGCTATTTAAACAATATATTTCATGATCGGCTTACAATATAATTTGTTAAATGCACTTTAAGTTATATTGATACTACTGATCATGATATCCTATTTAACTGACTGAATTCAGATTTTGATATTGTTAACTGAAAAGATTAAATCTTGAAAATTGTATTGCAGATATTAGATGTTGGCTTTCATAATATTTTCTTAAATCAAACGATGAAAAATGGAATAGAATAACTTATTATTGACTCGAAAACTTAATTCACCAAAGTTAATGATAACAATTCAGTCTCAATAGTCTGTTGCGTAATACCACCATCAACATCTGCATGTAGTATCGAAGCATTATTTGATTCTAACGTGGATATGGATGCTCATCAATAAACTTTTTATACGCCCACATTTTCATGTGGACGTATATTGTCGTCGCCCCTGTCCGTCCGTCCGCCCGTCCGTCCACAATTGATTGTGAACAGTCTACAGGTCACAATTTTTATCCGATTTTAATGAAACTTGAAATATAGGTTTATCACCCTAAGATCTCGGTTCCTTTCGATATTGGCATGTATCAGACTGTAACTTCATGGATTATGGCCCCTGATTGTACGAAAAATCATGTTTTAAGCTTGTGAACACTGTAGAGGTCACAATTGTTATCCGATTTTGTTGAAACTTGAAATGTATGCTTATAACCCAAAGATCTCGGTTCCTTTCGATATTTGTGCATATCGGACCGTAACTTCCTGAATTATGGCCCCTGAGTGTACGAAAAATCGCGTTTTTAGCTTGTGGACCCTATAGAGGTCATAATTTTTATCCGATTTAAAAAACCGTATTATTATATCACCGTAACACCCTAAGAAAGGTTGAGTTCGAATTTGGGGAAAATCGGACCAAAATTGCCGGACAAAATGGCCGCCGTTTGTACGCAAATAGTGTAAAAATAGGGTAAATCAAGGTTGTGGACCTTGTGTATGGGTCACAATTTTAATTCGATTTTGATGAAACTTGAAAAGCATGTTTATAACCTAAAGATCTTGGTTCCTTTCGATATTGTCGCATATCGGATCGTAACTTCCTGAATTATGGCCCCTGATTGTACGAAAAATCACGTTTTAGCTTGTGGACCCTATAGAGGTCACAATTGTTATCCGATTTTGTTGAAACTTGAAATGTTAGTTTATAACCCAAAGATCTCGGTTCCTTTCGATATTCGCGCATATAGGACCGTAACTTTCTGAATTATGACCCCTGATTGTACGAAAAATCGCGTTTTTAGCTTTTGGACCCAAAGATCTCGGTTCCTTTCGATATTTTTGCATATCGGACCGTAACTTCCTGAATTATGGCCCCTGATTGTACGAAAAATCACGTTTTTAGCTTGTGGACCCTATAGAGGTCACAATTGTTATCCGATTTTGTTGAAACTTGAAATGTTAGTTTATAACCCAAAGATCTCGGTTCCTTTCGATATTCGCGCATATAGGACCGTAACTTTCTGAATTATGACCCCTGATTGTACGAAAAATCGCGTTTTTAGCTTTTGGACCCAAAGATCTCGGTTCCTTTCGATATTTTTGCATATCGGACCGTAACTTCCTGAATTATGGCCCCTGATTGTACGAAAAATCGCGTTTTTAGCTTGTGGACCCTATAGAGGTCATAATTTTTATCCGATTTAAAAAACCGTATTATAATATCACCGTTACACCCTAAGGACGGCTGAGTTCAAATTTCGTGAAAATCGGCCCACAATTGACAGACAAAATGGCCGCCGTTCGTTCTAAAATAGCGTAAAAATATGGTATATCAAGGTTGTGGACCCTGTAGAGGTCACAATTTTTATCCGCTTTTGTTAAAACTTGAAATATAAGTTTATAACTTACAGATCTCGGTTCCTGTCGATATTTGCGCATATCAGACCGTAATTTCCTGAATTATGGCCCCTGAT